ACGTCACACCGGGCCGGGCGCCGTGACGTCACCGCGGCCACGAGCCCGCCGCTGGGCCCGGTTGCAGTGACGTCACAACCGGGGCGAGGCGTCCCCCGCCGTGCCGCGCGGCCGGAAGTGGCGCGCGCGGGGAGACGTGTCGGAGCGGCGGGACCGGAGCGTGAGCGCGGGGCACCGGGGAAAGCGGACACCGGGGAGCCAGGACAGGAGTAGGAACCGGGGGCAGAGCGGGACACCGGGGAGAGCGGGCACCGGGGGGAGAGCGGGACACCGGAGAGAGCGGGCACCGGGGAGAGCGGGCACCGGGGAGAGCGGGCCACCGGGGAGAGCGGGCACCGGGGGGAGCGGGCCACCGGGGAGAGCGGGCCACCGGGGGGAGAGCGGGACACCGGGAAGAGCGGGCCACCGGGGAGAGCGGGACACCGGGGGCAGAGCGGGCCACCGGGGAGAGCGGGACACCGGGGAGAGCGGGACACCGGGGGCAGAGCGGGCCACCGGGGAGAGAACGGGCCACCGGGGAGAGAACGGACCACCGGCGGAAGAGCGGGACACCGGGGAGGAAGTGGGCACCGGGGAGAGAATGGAGCACTGGGGGACAAGGTGGGCACCGGGGCACCGAGGGGCCCGGGCGGAACGGGTGCCGGGCCGTGCCGGTGAGGCGCGGGTCCCTCCGCGGGATGCCAGCGTGCGCGTCCCCCCTGGCCCGCAGGATGATCACGGACGTGCAGCTCGCCATCTTCGCCAACATGCTGGGCGTCTCGCTCTTCCTGCTCGTCGTGCTGTACCACTACGTGGCCGTCAACAACCCCAAGAAGCAGGAGTGAGGAGCCCGCGGCGCCATGGCCGTGCCGCTCCCGCCGCCCGTCCCTCCCTCCCGCGGGGCTGTCCCGGAGGCGCGAGGCCGAGCTCCTTCCAAACCACCTTTAACGGAAACGCGATGATTCACGACAAAACCGTGTCGCTTCATAAACCCTCCCCGGGCCCGCGGGAGGAGCGGGCTGGGCTGGGAGCACGGCGGGGCTCAGCGCAGGAGGAGCGGCGCCGTGGGCAGGAGCTGGGCAAGGGGGGATCGGTGCTGGGGGGCCGGGGCGGGGGACAGCGGCGGGGGCAGGGACAGGGGGGCCGCAGGGCCCTTGCCCGGGCGCTGCGGGCACGGGGCGGAGCAGGGACGGAGGAGCCCTGCCCGCGCCACAGCTCCCCGGTACGGCGGGGCTGGAGCCCGGGGCACGGGCCTCTGCCCCGGCACGGGAAGGGTCCCTCGGTGCTCAGCACCCTCGCGGGGGGCACGGGGGCCTCCGGGCAGAGCCCTGTAGGACAGAGACCGGTGTCAGTGGGGCACAAAGCTCTTGTGCCCCACAGCCCCCTGCCTGGGCAGTCCGGGCACCCAGGGGCTCTGAGATGAGCCCACACTGCAGCTGGCAGCAGCACCTACCCAGGCCTTTCCAGGGTTCTCCGGGCATTCAGCTTCATAGGGAGCACCTGTGGAGAGCGGGGAAGAGGATCAGTGCCAGGCCTTTGTCCCTGGGGTTTTCCCATGTCTTGGGGAAAGGTGTGTGGGACAGAAATAACTGGCAGAGCCCCACAGGTGGGGAGGCTCCCAGTCCCTGAGGGGCTCCCGGTCTTTGGGGCAGCCCCCCAAACATGTCCCCCGCTAAGGGCCCACCCAGCAGAGCCATGGGGCAGCCCCTTCCCTGGGCACAGGCCCTGCTGGTGCCTCTGATACCTGCAGAGGTGCCATGTCCTGGAACTCCTGCACGCCTCGCTGTGCCGCCCGTGCTCCGTGGCTGGTGCTCGGCACTGCCCGGGTGCCCTTGGGCAGAGTCCCTGTGTGACAGAGGAGACAGAGCTCAGCCCATGCTGGCGAGGGGCTCAGCGCCATGGTGGGGTCACCAGCTGGGCTGGAGTCATCACAGGACACTGTGGCACAGCCCAGTGCCACGGTGCCCTGCAGTGCCACCTCCAGTGCTTTGCCAGGGCCAGGCAAAGGGGTCACCCTGCGAAGGGCTGGTGCTGGCAGGAGGATGTGACAGGCACAGAGCTCAGTCCCAGCTCATGCTGCCAGTGCTGCGTGCCCCAGCTCCAGCCAAGCTCCTGCCTTGGCTTCCTATGGCACTGGTGTGACCATGCTGGCCAGCCTTAGCCAGGAGTGAGGAGCTGGGGGCACAGCTCTGAACCAGGGTATGTCCTGGGGTGTGGAACATCTCAGCCAGGGGAGCTGGGGGGAAAAAGGAAGGTGTTTGGGGGCCTGGCTGCAGTGGACAGCACTGAAGGAACACACCCGAGTTGCCTCAGTTGAAGTCTTTATCCCAATGCCGTTACCTCCCCATCTCACAGAAGAAGTGAGGTGGGGGGCACGCTGCCCACTGGGGTGAAGCCAGGGCCAGACCCCGCAGCAAATGGGACCCTGCGAGCAGGAGCCTCTGCTGGGCAGGATGGGCCACAGCCCCTGCTGCTGGTGGAGGTACTGGAGGTGGCAGCTGGCTTCACCTGGTGAAACCACAACCAGTGCCAACCTCAGCCAGCAAAGGCCAACAGCAGCTGAGGGAGTCAGGGGGGTCTGGCAGACCCCCTCAGCCTAGCATGAACACAGGTCCGGGCTCCCCAGGGTGTGCCCAGGCTGGAGTGGGACTCGGGGAAGAAGGGGGAGGGTGGGACAGGACCAGGGCACCAGGGTCTCCCCACTGTGCCATCCTGCCCCACCCTATCATGCCTCCAAGCACACCCAGCTCCTTCCCCGTGCTTGGAGAGGGCAGAGCCTGGGTGGCACAGCCAGCCTGAGGGCACCAGCGTGGGGCTTGGAGGGCACAGCCAGGGCTCCAAGCATCCCTGGGCCCTGATCCCTGTGCACACACAGGGGTGCTGACCATGCTGGGCCCCTCGGAGGTGCAGAGTGGTAGTGCTGTGGGAGAAGGTGGTGGGAGAGCTGCAGCAGCTGCAGTGGGGAGGTCTGGGGTGGCCAGGCACGAGCAGGTCCAGCTGATGCCAGGGCAGGGGAGGAAGAGCCGGGTCCTGGTCCCAGTGCCAGGCAGCACGAGGGTGCAGTGTCCATGGGGCACTCACTCTGCTGGTCACTGCTGGAGGAGGCCGTGCCAGTGGGCAGCACAGGAGGCAGGAGACCCCAGCCAGTCGGACCTGGGGACACCAGGGACCAGGCTCTGCCCCTCCGGCTCACACGGTCTGTTCCTGCTCACGCCCCCAACTGTCCCCAGTCCCTTCAGCCAGGGATGGGGCCAAGGGTTGCTCCAGGCGGGCCCGGCCAAAGGAACAGACGGAACAACGTGCCCATGAGAACATCAGCCTTTTATTTCCTCCCCACCATGTTCTCATGGCAGACAAGACACAGTCATGACAGAAGGCTGGGCAGCAAACCCCAAGGACACCACGACGGACACCAGAGGAACACAGAGCTCAACACAAACACAGCTTTGCCAGGCACCTGCCCCCAGCTCACACCCCCAGCCCTGGGCACTGGGAGGCTTTGGAGCATGGTGCCCCCAGGGCTGAGCCCCACAGTGCATGGGAGCACAGGGCTGCAGGGCTCCCGCTGCCACTGCCTGCCCCCCACAGCCCTGAGCCCCTGCCCCACGGCGGCAATACTAGCACGAGGGCCATAGCCACTGTCTTGCCTGACTGTGGCACCCCACTGCAGCAATCAGCCCCCACCAGAGGGGACTCTGCATGTTGGAAACCCCCTGGTGCCCCCTTCCAGCTCACAGGTCACAACCCACTGTTGCCCAGCCAGTGCCTAGAGGGGAAAGGCACTTTGGTGTGTCCCTGCTGGCCTCGGGAATGCTTGAGAGCAGTGGGAAGTTGGGCAAAGATTTCTGTGCTGGCTTCTCCAGAAGCCCCTTGGTCCTGGCACTGGAGTGGGGGCATCTCCCTGCAGCCCCAGTGCCAGGGTCCCCCACATCCCAGTGCAGCAGCAGCAGCTCCTGCCCAGCCAGGGCTGAAGGGCTGAGGAGCAGGAGCTCAGCTGGGCTGTAAAACTGCAGGCCTTGCTTGTGTCAGCCCTGAGCCGGCTCAGGACCTCCTGTGGGGACAGGCCCCTCACGCTCGCTGCTCCACACAGACCCAGTGTCCCTGTGCGAGCTCCCTCAGGGCCGTGGTGCCGCCCAGCAGCCGGACAGGTGCCGCAGCAGGCGCGCCAAGGGCCCCCAGCCCGGCTTACCTCTGCCCGGGGCCGAGGTGCTGCCGCCACTCACGGGGCTCTGGGAGGCCGCGGCCAGGGGCCCGGGGCTGCCGAAGGTGAAGCTGGGGGAGGCTCGGATCCGGGGGGAGTCCTGCTGGCTGCCCCCGCTCCCGCTGGTGCCATTGCTGAAGCTCCTGGCACGGGCCAGTGCGTTGTCAGAGGCCGAGGTGGGCAGCCCACTGGAGGGGTGAGAGAAGGGGGTCAGCCCAGCACGGTGAGGGGGCTCCCCTCTGCACCCTCCACCCGCCACCGCAGCCCAGCACCACCTCTGGCAGAGCCCTGGACATCTCCTCGGGAGCTGGTGAACAGCTGCGGACGAGGATGTCACCAGGACTGTCCCTGAGAGCTGCAGCCCCAGCGCCCTGCGCTGTACATTGCTGTCCCAGCAGCGTTGTCTCAGGGCTCCCACTTCCTCACCCAGTCCCAAATCAAGGAATTGCTGAGTTTGGAAAAGGCCTTAGACACCATGGTGTCCAACCCTTTGCCAGCACTGCCCAGGCCACCACTGACCCATGGCCCCAGGTGCCACATCCACAGGGCTTTTAAATCCTTCCAGAAACAGAGACTCCACCCCTGCCCTGGGCAGCCTGTGTTGGACAGCCCTTTCCAAGTGGAAATTGTTCCCAACATCCAGCCTGAACTTCCCCTGGCACAATTCGAGGCCATTTCCCCTTGTCCTGTCCCTGTCCCGTGGGAGCAGAGCTCAACCCCCACCTGGCTCCACCCTGCTATCAGGAACCATGGAGAGGAAGAACATCCCTCTGAGCTTCCTCTTCTTCAGGCTGAGCCTCCCAGCTCCCTCAGCCTCTCCCATCCCAGTCTGGCACTGGATATGGGTACAGGAGAGACCTCCCAGGTTACTGGGGCAGCAAATCCCAACCAGCTCACTCTCTGCCCTCCTCTGCTGGTGTCTCGGGGCAGAGGGACTGACAACCGCAGCCCCCCGAGCTGGGAAGAGCTAGGGCCAGGGCAGTGACCCTGGCAGTGACTCACTTGGGGACATTTATCACCTCTAAGTGCCGTTATCCTGCAGCTCCCGCGCTCGCCCCAGCCAGCCCTTACGTGGAGCTCCTGGGGGGGGTCCTGGCACCTCCTCTCCTCCGCGGGCCGCCGCTGGCGCCGCGCAGCCCCCGCACGTGCTTCAGCATCCAGGCGCGCAGGTTGCCCAGGCAGGCGTGCTCCGAGAGCACGATCCGCGGCCAGGGGTTGCAGTCGGCCATGTCCAGGGCCGCCACCGCCACCGCCCGGCCCACCTGCCCGGGAGAGGGCACGGGTGAGGGGGCACGGGGGAGAGCAGAACGGGAGAGTGCGCGGCACAAGGGAGAGGTGCACGGTGAGAAGGGGACACTGGGAGAGGGGAAGCATGGGGGAAGAGAGAGGAAGGAAGGAAGCAGTGGGGGACACTGGAGAGAGGAGCAGTAGTGAGGGGGTCACAGGGAGAGGAAGCCACCAGGAGAAGGGGGACACACGAGGGAAGATGAGGGCACCAGGAAGGGGGGATTCCAGGAAGAGAGAGTGCCAGGGAGCGGGGGCACTGGGGAGAGGGGCAGCTCCCTGGAGCTTGAGACAGCAAAGCAAGTGGAGGAAAGAAACCCCAGCCCCAGATCCCAGCCCACCCTCTGATCTCATCGCCCCGCAGGCTGCCCCAGGCCCCCGTACCTGCTCGAAGAGTTCCACGGTGTATCGGGAGGGGAAGGCGGGCGGCGGCGGGGGGCTGGCCCGGCCGTTGTCGTGGCAGGCCCCCGGGATGCTGTTCACCGAGCG